TCCTGAGTTTCCCCATCACTTGCCATCATCACTATTATGACTATCACCACCACCTCTTCCAGGAGCACTGCTACCATCACAAAGCTACTACTTGTATTCTCGCCATCATTTATGGAGTAGATACCCTGCACCAGACCTGGGCTAAGTGCCTCATGTGAATTCTCTCTCCTAATCGTCACAACAACCTTGCAAAGGAGGTAGTTTTATTATCACTATATTACACATGGGATCAGGTGCCTGCCTGTAGCCCTTGGTATGTACCTACATGAATTTTTAATACAGTGGCTCACTCAATAGCTCAATTAGTTGTCATCAATAGTGACTTCAGTATAATTCAACACATTTCTAGGAGGATCAGCTATCAGTTCAGTTCAGTTCAGTCGCTCAGTCATGTCCGACTCTTTGTGACCCCATGAATCGCAGCACACCAGGCTTCCCTGTCCATCACAAACTCCCAGAGTTTACTCAAACTCATGCCCATCGAGTCAGTGATGCCATCCAGCCATCTCATCCTCTGTCGTCCCCTTCTCCTCCTGCCCCCAATCCCTCTCAGCATCAGGGTCTTTTCCAATGAGTCAGCTCTTCGCATCAGGTGGCCAAAGTACTGGAGTTTCAGCTTCAGCATCAGTCCTTCCAATGAACACCCAGGACTGATCTGCTTTAGGATGGCCTGGTTGGATCTCCTTGCAGTCCAAGGGACTCTCAAGAGTCTTCTCCAACACCACGGTTCAAAAGCATCAATTTTTCGGTGCTCAACTTTCTTCACAGTCCAACTCTCACATCCATACATGACCACTGGAAAAACCATAGCCTTGACTAGACAGACCTTTGTTGGCAAAGTAATGTCTCTGCTTTTTAATATGCTATCTAGGTTGATCATAACTTTCCTTCCAAGGAGTAAGCCGTCTTTTAATTTCATGGCTGCAGTCACCATCTGCAGTGATTTTGGAGCCCCAAAAAATGAACTCTGACACTGTTTCCACTGTCTCCCCATCTATTTCCCATGAGGTGATGGGACCAGATGCCATGATCTTAGTTTTCTGAATGCTGAGTTTTAAGCCAACTTTTTCACTCTCCTCTTTCACTTTCATCAAGAGACTTTTTAGTTCCTCTTCACTTTCTGCCATAAGGGTGGTGTCATCTGCATATCTGAGGTTATTGATATTGCTCCCAGCAATCTTAATTCCAGCTTGTGCTTCTTCCAGCCCAGCATTTCTCATGATGTACTCTGCATATAAATTAAATAAGCAGGGTGACAATATACAGCCTTCACGTACTCCTTTTCCTATTTGGAACCAGTCTGTTGTTCCATGTCCAGTTCTAACTGTTATACACCAGGTTTATTCCAAACACTGGGGTTACAATAATAAACAAAACAAATAATAGCCCCTTCAAAATTTATGGTAACATGGTGAAGACAGATAATTAGACATGCAATCACCACCCAGCAGGCTTATATTTGGGGGCAGACAAGAGTACAAATAGAGACCCACATACCATATGTCTAAATATTTAAAGCTGATAAACTGTTAAACAAAATATGTTCTATTTTCCTTCCTTGAAAAACATATTTCATAGAGACAAAACTGAAAAACATGAGTGTAATTATAGCCTTTATATGACTTAAAGTTGGCAAAATGTCAAAACTGACTGAATTAATTGTTATTGCATATGTCTTGAGTGTTATGTTGATGAGCTAGAGATATTTGAATGAATTAAAAAAATAAGATGTACCTAATTCATAAAAATCACACTTTATTCCATAAAATGTGTTATTTGTCTTCATTTCACCAAATTACTAATTAAATGCTACAGTTAAGATTTTTCATATAATTTGTGTTCTCTTGTAAGTAATGTCTAAAGAATTAAAATATTAAGATATAATTTCATTAAAATGCATACAATTTGAATGTATTTTTATAAAAGTACAAATGAAAGTAAAGCTTAAAAATGAAAAAGTTCAAATTATAATTTCAAATAAAATTTTCTCCAGCAGAAGGGTGAATGGTAGTTGCCAGGGGCTGGGAACAGGGAAAAGGGGACTGTCATCGTCCACTGGATATAGAGATTCAGTTTTGCAAGATGAAAAAGTTCTAGAGATTTGTCGTGCAGCAAGATGCATGTAGCTAGCACTGCTGTGTTGTTTTTCAGTCGTGTCCACCTCCTTTGCAGCCCCATGGACTGTGGCCCACCAGGCTCCTCTGTCCATGGCATTTCCCAGGCAAGAGTGCTGGAGTGGGCTGCCACTTCCTTCTCCAGGGGATCGTCCTGACCCAGGGATCGAACCCACACCTCCTGCATTGGCCAGCAGATTCTTTACCATGGAGCCACCAGGGAAACCCAGCCCTATTATACTGTACAGTTAAAAGTGGGTAAGATGGTAAAGTTTATTGTTATGTATTTTTGTTTGTTTCTTTTAAAATGTCTAAACTCTATTTAAAGTTTTAAAATTTTAAATGTACATTATTTAAAGGCTAGATTTTTATTTACCTTTTTAAATATGTCTCGTCACATGTTTTTGTTAAAAAACTATTTGCAGCTCCATTGTTAAGTGTCCATCAGCTGTCAACGTAAAGAGGCAGTGTCATACTTCACCCACGTGCCACAGAGACCCATAGAGACAAATTCCAGGGTGGTGCACATTAGCAGCCATGTGTAACTCTCCTGAATGCCACCTTGGTGGGTGAGCACCTTTGGAATCTCCAGTTGGAAGAAGGAGAGAAACAAGTAAATGGAAACTTGGCACTGCTGGGAAATGGTGCCTTGTTATGTAAAAATCGATTGCATCTGAACTTTATGAAGGGAAGAATTTGACAAGTTAATTTGTCGTCTCTCTTACCTAAGAGCTTCGACTGATGCAATCCTCCTGTATTCCAAGGTGGAATCTCATCCCTCCAGCTCCCTGCTTAGCTGCTGACCTGTGTGGCATTTGGATGTGGTTGCCGTTTGCATTGAGGATCTAGGACAAGAAAACTGAATGTGGGGTTCCCTGGGGCTTACAGGAGGTCCTCAGGAGGACCAGCGTTTGGGATCACAGATGCCAGGGCAAGCCCTGAGTTTAGGATTGCAAATGACCAAAGGGTCCACAGAATTGCTAACTAACCAAGACGTAGCGTCTCCTGGCTTCCCCACCTCGGGAGCTCCTTCCTGCAGCACTGGGGGTTCCACTGCCTCCGTGGACCCTCTCTTTCGGGGGCCCCACATGCTCCCCTTTCCTTTGCTCTCAACTTTACCTGTGACTTCTTCTGTACCAAGCGCTGCAAAAACCCTCTTTTCCTGACAGTCAATGACTTAGGCAGGTTCCTTCCCAGGGTACACTCTTGAGTTTGGTGCTTTCTGGATCCAGTGCCTTTCCCCGCTGAAGATCATTTTCAGTTTTCTGAATTTGGGTCACTGGGTCCTGAAATTGGGGGACATATTTGGGGAAAGATGGATGGGATTTAACATCTCCAAAACATTCCTTATCAAAATGTCACAACTTTGATTTCTTTCCCAATTCAAATATTTTAAACTATGTTAACTAATTCCATCCCCTTTAACCACTTTTCCCATATTGTTGGTCTTACTTTAATTTTTAAAGCTCAGATTGACACTGCTTTTAACACCTCACAAGGAAGTTCCCCATGTTTGGGATCCCTTCCTGCTTAACAGTTGACCCTTCAGAGACATAAAGGAAGCCAAGAAAATGGCTGGGTCTTTAATTCACTCCCACATTCTGATTCATAAATTTGATATATTTTATTTGGACAGGATCAGATCATCATATGTCTTGTCTTCTTTAAAGTCAGACTTTGTAAGACACTCTACCTTATATGCTAGGGACCTTGCATGACAGCAATAGCAACATTAGTGACTGTCGAAAATGCCATTTAACAACAGCAAAAACACTGAAAATCTTTATGAAAGGTAATAAAAGTTAATTTTCACGGACACTTTTCAAAATTAAACAGTTGAGACACCTTACATTTTCCTCATAATTCTAAAAATAATTAGATCACAATGTGGATTAATTTCTTGTCACATTTAATTTCTTAGACAAAAGCTGTTTTTAAAAAAATCCCCAATTTTGCCCCATCCCCCTCCCTTTTCCCCTTGCATTTTTCTCTATAAAGATAAAGATTAAGCCTGCTAGAATTAGGACTGCCAACCAAGATGGGATTTTTTTTTCATCTGGTAAGCTCATTTTCTTAAGAGAAAAGGTCATTAAACAATCAAACTTTTGATTAAGAAAGAAACCCTCACATTGACTCCTTATGATATTTTGGGTAATAGACTTGACTTGCTCAAAAATCTTATTTTCAAGAGCCCCAAATGGAAAAACATTATAGTATCCTGGCAGTCATAATAGGCTCTTAAACCACAGTACCCTAGTGGTCATTTAGAAAGACCCGGGTTCTGATCCCAGCTCCTCCATCCTCTCCTTGGAGACTCAGTGCCTTCGTCCCTCTGAGCCTTGGTTTCTTCGCCCATAAATGGGAGACACTAACACCTCCTCGGTTGCTGTGAGGATGAAATAAGACGATCAATGTACAGTACGCAGCACAGGTCAGTGTCCAGTCTATTTAAGAAAACCACCCAGAGGATGCCAGCTTGACTTTCAGGACAAACGTTGTCCACTTGGCATCAAATGAAGACTTCGAGGTAATGAAATGGCTTTGAAACAGAGAAGGACTCGGACTTTTGGGGGCCCTTTGAACCCCAGGCTCTGGGGGGTCATGGGATGCTTGAGACTCAAGCAGGTGGTGATAGTTTCCGAGTCATCTCCTGTATTTCCCGGGAACTGTGTGACCCTTGAACCTTCCCCCTGGCCTCTCACCTGTGTGGAAATGCTCCTCCCAGCAGGGCCCGGGTCAGGGGCGAGACTGAGCCAGTGTGGGGGCCTGGAGGGGCGGCGTGCTGAGGGGCACCGGGAAAACCTCAGCAACTTGAAGCGGGCAGCGCGGGGCTGGGCGGGGGCAGTCGGGAGGCGGGCAGCACCTTGCAGGACGTCCAGCCTCATCATGGGCCAAAGTCGGGAATTGGGGTAAAGCCAGAGACCGGGGTCCCTTGAGCCTAAAAGGAAGGAAGGACTTCATACCCACCTCACTCCTTGTGCACCACCTTCCCTGCCTCCCCTTCTCGGGCCACCGCGCCTTCCTATTCGGCCACCAGGCCCCACGCAGGCTGGTGCAGCCTGGCCTGGAGCCAGGCGCCAGAGTCCGGACCCCCACTCTGCCTCTGGTCCGCATTCACAGATCACGAACCCTTCGATTCTCCATTTACTCATCTGTAGGAGGGGATGAATGCATACCATTGGTTTTACAGACGGGTGCGGAAGATTAAACACAAATTTCTCGGTAGGCACTAGCTCTTCTAAAACTTTGAGAAACAGTTATTTCCTGATGTACAGGGAAGGTGTGCCAGGCAGGCGTGGAAGTAGGAGGCTCAGCAGGGAGGAAATCCACCCCATCGTCCTCCAGGAGAAAGAACAGTTCAGTTCAGTTCAGTTGCTCAGTCCTGTCCGAGTCTGCCACCCCGTGAACCGCAGCCCGCCAGGCCTCCCTGTCCGTCACCAACCCCCGGAGTTTACCCAAACTCATGTGCATCGAGTCGGTTAACTCGCCTTATCAAAAGCAGAATTGGCCGCTGGATGGTCTGCCTCCCCTGCCAGCCCTCCTCTGCTGTCTCAGCAGGCCAGGGCTGAGGGAGGCCAGGAGGTATCTCCGTGCATTTCTTGTGCCCCGGAATACAGTGGCGCTCAATTAATTTCTGCAAAGTGACTTGACTCTTTGACCATTCCTGTATCTCCAATATTGTGTGAAGTAAAGCCCGAGTTTTTCTGTTTTCTTTTTTTTTTTTAAGATGATTTTTAGGAAGAAAATACCTTCTGTCACATTACCTCCTTCTGATGAGATTGGCTTCTAAATCTTTAATTCGGTAACATACTTTCTTTATCCTAACCCTCCCCGAGTCTGAACTCTGAATACATTCTTGGCGTTCAATACATTATTGACTTTGTAGAAGTCAATAAACCCCTGCCCCCAAACTCTTCCCGTCTACGTACGTGTGTAGACGGAGGCGTAGAAGAGCCCCACGGATCTTTAGAACAGATTGACTCGCTTTGCAATGATTTTTGAGATTTTTTGCAGGGGCAGCCATCTGGATGGAGAAGGCGGGACTCCCAGCCGCGGGGCCGTCGGGGCGTCTGGGGGCGCTGCTGGAGGCAGGCGGTGCGAGCCGGACAGCTGCTGGGCGGCTATTTCCGACGTCCCCACCGCCAGATGGGGCCGCGTGTCTGGCCTGCAGAAGCCGGGGGCGGCGCAGCGAGCGGGCTCCCTATTTAGCTCCGCGATACACTCGCAGCCCAACTGTGGGAGCGCACTCCGCGTGGGGACACCTGGTCACGGCGGCCTCCGCCAGACGGCGGGGGAGAGCGCTGACGTTTCTCAATGGGAGTGAAAAATGGCAGCGCGCTTGAGGTTTGAGCCCGAGCAATGAACTGTTTTCTCCCTGCTGCTTCTCCTCGGGGGCTCCCATAAGAGCAACGGGACTCACCCCGCTCAGCCCTGCGCCCCGTATCCAGGCCTGATGCTCGTGAGGCCTGAGAGCGAAGAACGAAGGCCGAGCGGACTCTTCTCCCAGCCCAGCAGCAGCAAAGCCCGGAGATTCTTTTCTTTGTTTTTAAACTGAGGGTGGGAACGCAAACTGGTACAGCCTCTGTGGAGAACAGTGTGGAGGTTCCTTAAGAAACTGGAAATAGAACTGCCATGCGACCCAGCAACCCCACTGCGGGGCATACACCCCGAGGAAACCAGAACGGAAGGACTGGAGAGTCTTACAAGACCCGCTAAGCAGCGGGAAGCAGCGCCGGCCGCCTCTCGGAGGGGAGGAGGTTAATAGTGTGGTGCCTTTAGGGGTCCGTTCGGGGACCACTGTTATTTAATGTGTTCATTACTGATTCGGAGGAGCGAGTGGATGGTAAGTTAGTGAAGGCTGCGGAGGGCACCAAGTTATTTCACTTAGTAAACACTGCGGAGACTTGTGCAGAATTCAGGAAGGGTTTTCCTTGGAGTTAAAAGAAATTAGAAATGAATAGTCTTGTTAGATGATGTATTCCATCCCAGTGGGCCAGCGTGGATTGGTTGCCAACAACAGAAAATATTTCCCAGAGTTTAATTCAACCTCAATTTTCAAATGCCTCGAGTGTGTTCACCGTCCCCCTGCCCCCGCCCCGCCCCACCTCCAGGAACATGGAAATTCGGTTTTCTCTCTAATGCCCTGTCTCAAATTTCTTTTTTAAAAATTCTGTCTCTTACACCTCACAGCTCTAGCAGAGGGGTGGGTGCGCCTTGTTGGATTCTCAGCATTTCACCTCCTACAAGCATGATAAAAGTGGACCCTTAACATTCCTCCTAGCCATTTCTTCTCCAAACTATTTCTTTTGTGTTTTCTTTAGCCATTTTGCCATTATTCACTTTTCCTGGCCCCCAAATCTTGGTAGCTACTTCATCTCCTAATTTTCCTTTCAGGCCCCCAAAATAGTCTGGTTCCAGGCCTGGCAGGTTGTCCTGATGGCCCCATTTCTTCCAGCTCCAGAGGAAGAAATTATGGAAATTTTATACAAATATGTATTTATGCAAATACTTATTTATATACCTGTCCAATACAATGGCCTGTGGTTGAAGCTCAAAGTCCTAGAAGCCAAGTGAGTATATTGAAAATTCATTTCCAACTTGCTGTCTAGGTTCTCAAGTTCCAAGTATTTTTCTAGCTCTCTTTCTGTATTGGCATACTATCCCCCAGTGAACTGGTTTACAGTTTTCAATTCCCAGAGCAGGGATCTCTAGGCCCCAGTGAAGTTGCATGGAGTAGTTCTTGTTGTTTAAAATATTCTTGAACATGCTGAGAGATAAAACAGCTTTGATGACACATGGCTTTTAAAATGAAAGTAATTTTTTTAAAAAATTGACACAGCAGATTGTTTGACTACATTAGGAACATGGGTAAACATGATTTGAGGAAGAGGATGATGTGTACTGGACAATGCCTGCCAAGACAATGAAGGAGACTCTAACTTTTTACTCCATTTTCAATCAATTTTTCCCCATTTCGTAGAATCTTCCTATTTGCGCCCCTCTTGCCCTTGTGTATGATCACTTATTGAATTGCCTGCTCCACAGTGTAGATAAGGAAGAGACAGCACTGGAGAAGCTGCATGGAAAAAAATCTCCCAACTATGTTATTATTTAGAGACTTTTTATAAAGCTTTAATTCTAGCAAAGCAGGCTTCTACTTGGAGGTCTCCTTGCATTGCCTGCTCTTGTCTGAGAGGAAATTTGGTCTTCCCAGCCCAGGGTAAATACTTGGATCATCAGAGAAGGTTAAAGCCAGAGAAATCTTAAAGGTCATTTAATATTTTTGTGTGCTTTTAAAATCATTCATTAATTTTCATATTACAATTATTTTCCCCAAGCACAAGTTGGTACACGTATGATTTGCAGAAAATCTAACCCAGATTTCAGTTTAAGAAGTTATAGATGGTTTCCAATTTATGATGGTTTTTTATTTTCTGATGGTGCACATTCAATATGCATCCATTAAAGACAACGTCACATTTTGAATTTTGCTCTTTTCCATGGTGTCTGAGGACAGAGGGAACAAAACTTGCCCACTGCACTGAGGAGGTACCTTGAGGCTGAGAATGAGGCAGGCAGCTCTCTGTAATCAGTGGATCCATTTATTACGTGGTGACTTACAGAGGAGAATCGGGTGGATGGTGACCCAGAGCTGTGCTTCACATCTCCAAGGGGCCATCATGACAATTGTATAGCTAACCGAGGGTGTGGGGGAATGTGCTTGCAGGCAGCAGGTGCATTCCTAAGTTAAAATTTATGATGGAGACTCATCTCATGGGTGCCAGGAATGTATCAGTGAAGGTCTTAAAGGTCATTTTAATTAACCCTTTGGTTTCTCAGTGCTGGAATGGAGCAGCACAGGTTTAAACTCCCTGCTTGAATGGGTGAAACAAGTCCAGCAACTCGTTCTTGAGTAGGGGAATCAAGAAAAAAATTTGACACATGTGAATTAAAAAATGACTGTCAAAAAGGACAGTTGTGCTGCTGTAAGTGTACAAGTGTAAGTGGGACCCGCAAGCTTGTTTAGCGTGTGCAGCAAGAGACCTCGGCTCATTCATCTCTCTTACCAAATCACTTCTTTTCCCCCTGGAAGCGTACCTTCTCTCTCTCTTTTTAATTTTATTTTATATTGGAGTATAGTTGGTTATTGTGTTCATTTCAAGTGCACAGCAAAGTGATTGCTATACACACACATTAATCTATTCTTTTTGAATTCTTTTCCCATTTAGGTTATTACAGAATATTGAGCAGAGGTCCCTGTGCTAGACAGTAGGTCCTTGTTGAGTATCTCTTTTAAATATAGTAGTGTGTACATGTCAATCCCAAACTTCCAATCTATCCCTTCTCCCCTCCCTTCCCCTCAGTAACCGTAAGTTCATTCTATGAGACTGTGAGTCTATTTCTGTTTTGTAAATAAGTTCATTTGTATCATTTTTTGAATGCTCCACATATAAGTCATATCATATGATATTTATCTTTCTCTGACTTACTTCACTCAGGATGATAACCTCTAGGCTCACCCGTGTTGCTTCAAATGGCATTATTTCATGACTTTTAATGGCTGAGTAATATTTCCTTGTATATATGCACCACATCTTCTTTATCCGTTCATCTGTTGATGGCCATTTAGGTCATGTCTATGTCTTGGCTATTGTAAATATTGCTGCAGTGAATATTGGGGTGCATTTGTCTTTTCAAATTATGGTTTTCTCAGGTATATGCCTAAGAGTGGGATTGCAGGGTCATATGGTAGTTCTATTTTTAGTTTTCTGAGGAACTTCCATACTGTTCTCTGTTGTGACTGCACCAGTTTACATTCTCACCAACAGGTAGGAGGGTTCCCTTTCCTCCACACTCTCTCCAATGTTTATTATTTGTAGACTTTTTGATGATGGCCACTTCTAACTGGTGTGAGGTGATATTGCATTTTAATTTCAATTTGCATTCCTCTAATAATTAGTAATGTTGAACGTCTTTTCATGTGCCTTTTGGCATCTGTATGTCTTCTTTGGAGAAGTGTCTGTTTAGGTTTTCTGCTCATTTCTTGATTGAGTTTGCTTTTTTACAAACAGGCACTTGAGCTCTTTGTAAATTTTGAAGATTAATCCCTTGTTGGTCACATTGTTTGCAAGTGTTTTCTCCCATTCTGTGGGTTGTCTTTTCCTTTTGTTTCCTTCTCCATCTTAGTGTGTAGGTTTTTGGAGGAGACATATGAGGAGCTTTGGGGGAAGCATAGTGGACTAGCCCAGCCAACCGGCTCAGCCTAATCAACAAGGGTAATTATGGGGTAAGACGTCACATTCAGGTCATTCTCACATCAAAAGGGAATAAAATAGAAAAGCCATGGCCAAGAGTGAGTTTGGTGTTGGGTTAGGAATAGAAAATAAGCGTCTTCTTATCTCCTCAAGTGCTTCCCAGTCTCCATTTCAGTATCTGTTTCTGCAGGAAGCATCTGCACCGCTAGGTGCTGTGACGTGCCCCTCCCATCCTCCCCCAGGACCGAGGTCCTCACTCCTCCGGCTGGTGGACTTACAGGCCGAGGTGGTGGCTGACCACTGTCAGCTGCCTCAAGCCAGGAACTGGAGAGCCCTGGGCTGGAGAGAGCTGCCTTGCCCCACGCCACATCCCCAAATGACTTATCCTGAGAGCACTCCCCAGTAAACTCCCTCCACGCTGCTTCTCAGAGTCTGCTTCCCCAGGAAACTGACCAAGGCAGATGTTTAGGACAGATACAGCCCGTGACAAAAGCATAGGACTGGAACCTCAGATCAGTCAAGCACTCATCATATCAACAACTATCAGAATCCCTGAAACACTTTTTAAAAATTCATATGCCCAGGGTCATATCCAGCTCTATCGACTCTGGGCTGTAGTTCTCAGTGACTATGTCTTGAAAAGCTTCCCAGGCGACTCTGAGGGATGTCCTTGTTTGAGAATACCTGGGAAGAAAGATCCAGTGTTTCGTATGTGTTATTTCCCACCCTGACCCCCCAGCACCTAAGCCTGACATATGAAAGCACCCCATAAATGCTAAGTTAATGAATGAAGTCCCCAAAGTCACAGAGTGGTTCATCAGAAAGCCCTGGGACTCGTGACCCATTGCTTCCACTGCTGGAAGTTCTTTTTTTTTTTTTCCTTAACCACACTGTTTTAGCACTATCTTAATCATAACTCCTTTGGCAATTGTTTGTTGAACTTAAAATTCCTCTTGGCCATGGCAACAAAAATAAAACCACACAGAAAGCTGTATACTAATGGGCTGTGTTAATAATTTGACCACCAAATTATATCATACCCTCTGCACTGCCATCCCCCACTTCAGAG